TTCAGCATCTTAGCTGTGGAGGGCAGTGTCACTGGCCCTCATATGTGGGATCCGAACTGGGGCCCTCTGGCGTCCCAAGCCAGCTCTTAACCATCACGCCACTCGGCCGGCCCTCAAATCTGGCATTTGAGGGAGCCTTGTGAGCTAGCCCAACATGCTTCCTTGGACACCTGTACCCCTCCTCAGAAAGCTGCTTGACGGTCACCCCCCAGCCTGGCCTGCAAACTGCCCGCCACGGGGCCCCGTCCCTGGTGAGGCTCCTGTCGTTGCTGCATCCCAGCCATCACTGGGCAGGCGGGCTGCATCAAGTCCTGTTGGGCAGCTGGGAGGGGCTGTTCCCAGCCCCGCACCCCCCGCGAGCCTGTGCTCCTCCCATGTCTGGCAAACACTCAAATTCTCTCCCAAAACACCATCCCGCCAAGAGAAGTCAGTGACCAGACCTTTCCTGCCTGAGACGTGGGACATTCTCCCAGCAGCCCCTCGGGCACGGCCCCTCGTGTGGGGAGGCTCTCAGCCCTCATCTGTTCCTCACGCCAAGCTTTGCCTCGCCAGCTGCTCTCAGCCCCTAAAGCTCTTTCACAAAGCGGGGCAGGCCCCCTGAGCAAACGTGGCTGGCTTCAGGCCTCTGCACCTTTGGGTCCCAGCCCGGCCCGTGGGCCCATGTTGGGGTGGAGGCGTTGGTTCTGATTCTTCTGTCTTTTTTAAAACATGTTCATTGTGTTAGACTCATAAAGTACCATAAACGAAAGGTGTCCCTACCCAGCTCCGCCCAGGCGGGGATCCTGGAGGATGCACTGCGAGGGGTGTGCTGTCACACCCAGGAGGGCCCTGCCTGCTGCATGGCATCCATGTGGACGGTGGTCAGAGCTGCCCCTGGCCCCTCCAGCTGCCCACGGCTCACTTCCAGAGATGGGTTTGAAGGCACAGGGTAGGCAGTACGGGGAGGGGTCAGTGGGGACTTGAGGATGAGCCAAGCCTGGAAGAAGTGGGGGGAGCGATGAATGTGGGGGCTGGAGGCCCCTGAGCATCAGAGCCAGAGGGTCTGTGTCCCCTGGGTGACAAGCGCACCTCAGAGACCCTGACCTGCCCCAGGGCCACATAGCCCATGAGGCTGAATGAGCCGGCTCTGCCTCCCCCTCAGCTGGGTGGATGGGGGCCCTGGGGCTCCCCACAGAACTCGGGGGTTCTCATCACAGGCCCTCCTTGCCCTTTTCCAGGGATCGCTGTGTGCAACATCCCATCGGCAGCAGTGGAGGAAACAGCCGACTCCACCATCTGCCACATCCTCAACCTGTACCGGAGGAACACGTGGCTGTACCAGGCCCTGCGGGAGGGCACGCGGGTGCAGAGCGTCGAGCAGATCCGGGAGGTCGCCTCCGGAGCGGCCCGCATCCGTGGGGAGACGCTGGGCCTCATCGGCTTTGGTATATGCGGCTGCTCCCTTGTCCCCCCTGCCAGGCCTGGCTCAGGGACCCCGCAGGAGAGGAAGGCCCAGCCTTCCCTGGGAGTGAGGTTCCTTGCAGTGGTACCTGTGACCAGAGTTTGCTGTCAGCCAGGGGAGGGCCATCAGGGCCCCCACGCCAACTCCAAGGGGTGGGAGGTCAGGGGTCAAGGCTGATCAGGGAACTTGCCCAGAGGTGAGGTCTGGGCTGCTTCTGGAAGAAGGGGTCTGACGTGGCTGGCGGAGAGGGCTCAGCAGGCGGGCACTCTCAGGTGTTGGGTTGCTGACTGCCCTGGGCAGAGGTGCTTCGCGGAGAAACGAGCAGCAGGCTTGGGGCTCGAATGGGTTGGTGGTTGCCTGGAGACCCGGGCAGTGGCAAGGCCTGGAGGCCTCCAATGCCAGGCTGGGTGGCAGCAGGGAACTTGGAAGGATTGAGTCAGAGTGGTACAGTCGGCCTCAGCTTGGAAAGCTTCCCTGAGAGGGGGGCCAGGAAAGGTGTTTGAAGCCCTGTCGTCCAAGGGAAGGTGCGCTGTGATGGAAAGCAGCCTGAAGGGCCCAGGTGGGGTTCCCACATTGCAGTTAGGTCCCTGCTTGTCGCTGCTGAATCTCAACCACACCACTTGGTGGCTCTGTGACTTGGAGGAAGTTACGTGACCTCTGGGAATGGAGTGATACACAGTAGCTGTCCCTTAGGACTCAGAAGGCATGAGAAGTGCATTGGCGGGTAGTAAGTGCTGGGCCGGGCTGTCGGAAGGCTCCCCAAGCTGACCCTCAGCCCTTACCTCGGAGCTGTTTCCAGATATGTGAGGGTCAGGTCCCCTGGAGTGGCCTGGGTGCCAGCTTGAATGAGGTCGGAGCTGGCTTTCTTCCATGAGTACCCATCTTTCCCGCTCTGGGTCTGAGTTGAAGAACCCAGGTGTTAGGGGTGATCGCACTCAGGAGTCTTTGTTTTTCTGGAGTGGACAGGACACTGCAACCTAAGGAAAGCAGGTGAGTTGTACGGGCTGCAGTGCCCTCTGCTGGTGCCTTCCGGGTTTCTCATTGCTCCGCAAAGTGGTTCTTAGAGAGGATTCTTTGGACGTCGTGCATTAAGCCCCTGCAGGGGCCAGGACGCAGAGCCTCAAGTTGTGAGTGGCCCAGCCACGTGATGGCAACCTCACTGGCACTTGTTTCAGTGGCTTCTGACTCCAGCCATCACAGTAGGTTCTTATGGGATCGTTTTCTATGTCTGTGGCCTTTGCCATCCATTTTTTGAAGACCTTTTCGGGACACTGAAGCCAGCCCGTCCGTGGTTTCAGCCTGTTTACTCGAGATTGTGAACAAAGCACTGCCACAGCCCCGGTTCCCCATACACACTGATTGTGGTGTCTGTCTCCTTGCTACCTTTTCAGGTCTTTCCATAGCCTTCCAGAACTGCACGGGGAAGGGGGCAGAGACAGGGTCCTAGGCAGCCTAATCACAGCTGCTGCCACCTTGTTAGGAGCTGAAACCATTCACTTGCCTAAGGCTCAGCTGTAAGCAGCTGCAGAGCCCTGTGTGGGGGGCAGGCGCCCGGGGGGGGGGAGCCCGACCCCAGCCCAGGCTGGTGGGGGGTGGTGCTCCAGGACAGCCCCCAAGTTGGGAGGGAGGGTGCACCGACATCTGAAGGGCAAGCCAGCCAGTGGGTGATAGCAGTGTTGTTTTTTTGTGGCCAGGACAACTGGGTTTTCCTTCTCTGAGGCTGGATTTTGATCGAGTCAGAATTAAGTCATGAGGTCTTGTAAAATTCAGTCAGGAAAACCTCAGGACTATTAAGTAGAAGTCAGTGAAAATGAGGGTCTGTGGGTTCGTGAAAAGCAGAGCCATTGGGAAATAACACCCAGGCTCAGCCAGCGTTTTTGTGTTGAAATCTGGGCCTGATGCTCTCAAGCCCTTGGAGCTGCCGCCGGGAAGCCCCATCTGACATTAAAATGTGTTAGACGCGGAAGGAAGGAGGGCCCAGAAATAGGGGAAGGACGGCGTCACCTCGTTAGGCCTGAGACCACAGCAGCCGCAGGACGGGGCCCCGGGGCCCCTATTTCAGGTACATAGAGGGCGAGGTTTAAGGCCAGCACGCTTCCCTCCACCCCGTCACTGGTCGGCACACCTGCTCCTCTGCTCTCCTCTGGGATGTGTGGCTCTGGTTCCTGGTTTGTTGTGTCCAAGCGTCACCACTGAAGAGGGTGACATGAGGGGTACTGTGATGGCCCTGCAGCCGTCCCTCTGGATCAGAAGGCCCTTATGAGACCTTGGCCTCCAAACCACGGCGTGGTCTTGGTCGTGCCGAGTTAGAGGGACGGGGGTCCACCCCCATGTCACCCTCCAGTGGCTTCCCGTTGGGGAGGCACATCTTCCCTTGTTCCTTCCTCCATCTCTGCACATCTGACGTGGTTTTAGATCGAGAATTTGTCTGCTCTCCCCCAGTCAGCCCATTCACTCAAACCGTTTCATTTTCAAGCTGAAAACTGCTCTGGGAGGCAAGAGGCGCTGCTCTTGGGATCAGTGAGTTTGTGCAAATGATGGCACTTGGGAATCAGGGAGACTTTCATGTCCTTTTAGGTAACATTGGTGTCTTAACTTGCTGGAGCCCCGGCTGGAGGCTGGAGAGGGGGTGTGAGCCTGCATACCCGAGAATTGCCATGTCCCCACCCCTCAACCCAACCTTTCCCCGTGCCCATTTGTGCTCAGGCCAGACTGTAGTGTCGGTTCCATCATTTCATTCCTTCCGTGTGCAAACCCAGTGGTAATTAGGCCAGAGAACGTTCCGTTAGACAGCAATAAAGAAAGGAAGCTCAGGTTAAGAAGGGGAGAGAGAAATGCGAAGGGGAGAATACTGGTGATGGTTGGAGCTGGGGAGGGGCATGTGCAATTTACTAGAATGTTCACACTAGTAGTTTTTGTTTGAAAATATACATAGCAGGAACTTTAAAAAAAAAAACAGCTGGTGGCCAATACAGGTGACAGCAACTGCCTCCTCGCCCAAGAAGCTTGAGAAGTGCGGTCTCAGGCGTCACTGAGCTTTGAGCACAGGTCCCTCCAGCAGCAGCCTCTGATTGGTGCAATTGCCAGTAGGGACTGCAAGCCCAGGCTCTAGGTCCCAGCAGTAGTGGAGGCAGCAGGACGGGCAGGGGCACAGTGGAGGCCACGGCACGAGGGGTGGAGGGCTCGCTCACCTGGACGCTCTTTTCTGCACAGGTCGCACAGGGCAGGCGGTCGCTGTTCGAGCCAAGGCCTTTGGATTCAGCGTCATCTTTTATGACCCCTACTTGCAGGATGGGATAGAGCGGTCCCTGGGCGTGCAGAGGGTATACACCCTGCAGGACTTACTGTATCAGAGTGACTGCGTCTCCTTGCACTGTAATCTCAACGAGCATAACCACCATCTCATCAATGACTTTACTATAAAGCAGGTAATTTGCAATAGCCACCCTCAGACCCTGGAAACTACTATCAAAACAAAAGGGGATGGGAAATGGTCCATGGACACCAGTGAGCAGGGAGTCAAGTCCCCTGAGACACGTCAGTGAGGAGCCAGGTGAGACGTCCTCCACGGGATGGGCCCTTTTAAACAGGGACAGGAGCTGGTCCAGGACCAAGCATGGACGTGTCCTCCAAGAAGTGACAGACAGGTGACAGCTCCTGATCAGCAGTACCGACCCCTGGCCTCCAGCTGTCACCGGGACTCCACACTCGCTTCCCCCAAACTGCTGCACATGATTACAGCCGAACCCACAGAACTGGTCTGCGGCTTTCTTCTTTCAACTTGAGCACAAGCACGTCCCCTCCCGCTGCAGCAGCATCTGTCTAACCGGCTTTTCTCTCCTCCCACAGATGAGGCAAGGCGCCTTCCTGGTGAACGCAGCCCGCGGAGGGCTGGTGGACGAGAAGGCTTTAGCCCAGGCGCTCAAGGAAGGCAGGATACGAGGGGCGGCCCTCGACGTGCATGAGTCGGAGCCTTTCAGGTGGGTCGGGCCGAAAGCTGAGGTGTTCGGAGCCCGGGCTCCCGATTCACAGTGGAAGAACTTCCGGCAAGGCTTCTACTCCCGACCCCACCGTGTCTGGGCTCTTCCCCAAACAGGTCCTGGGTGGGGAGCGAGATACAGCCTTTGTCCTTCTCAGGACTGTGCTGTGTTCTCAGGTCCCCAGAGGTAGTCAGAAAGGGAACGGTGGGGTGCTGGGTCGGGTGTGCAGGCGTCATCCACCAGATTGTTCCTTCAAGGTCCCCTGATTACCCTGACAGAACAGTGTTAATAAGGGTTGTAAGCAGCACACCGCAGATGCCCCTGGGTGCCACCTGTGGAGCCAGAGCCCCTCTAGTGCGTGGGGCGCCTTCGGCTTTGCGCACTGACTGGGTTTTGTACGTCTCTCTAGCTTTGCTCAGGGTCCCTTGAAAGACGCACCGAATCTCATCTGCACGCCCCACACAGCCTGGTACAGTGAGCAGGCCTCGCTAGAGATGCGGGAGGCAGCTGCCACGGAGATCCGCCGGGCAATCACAGGTGAGCCCCGCCACCTCGAAGCCTGGTGACGGATGCACAGCGAGGGGGTCCCCCGGGCTTGCTGTGGGCAGAAGTCATTTTTCAGGGTGACTGAATTTTGAATGAGTTGGGCCTTGTTTGTGCACGGCTCAAGTTAAATTTCAGAGGAAACCAATTCCCTTTTGTATCAGCCAGGGTAAGTAGAGCAGACCTGGGGGCGGGGGGGGGCGACACCCCACCCCCGAGGGAGCAGGTGGGAGCTCCTTTCTGTTCCGGCCAGTGCTTGGGCCCTGAATGGTGCAGTCTGTGGGAAAAAGGGCCAGCCCCTCATTATAGAGTAAGAGACTTTATTATTACATTTCTATCAGCACAAACATTGCCGGTTGCTTCCCCAAGTAGCAGCTACTAAGTGTAATATTTAATTCACTGTCACCTTAAAAAAATACATGATTAATTTTAATCATCTTATTCCAGGTCGCATCCCAGAAAGCTTAAGAAACTGTGTGAACAAGGAATTCTTTGTCACCACAGCTCCCTGGTCAGTAATAGATCAGCAGGCTATTCATCCTGAGCTCAATGGTGCCACCTACAGGTGAGGAGAGGCTGGAGCCTGGGAGGCTGAGCCACCTGGGCACTGAAAACGCCATCTCCCCGGGCAGTCTGCCCACTGTCCTGGCAGTTACTGCGCCAGGTTTCCATGAACAGACCTAACCTTGGGGACATGGCCTGGAATGGGAGCTCCTGCTTTAAAGGGGGTGGGAGTGCACTGCCCGAGGGGTCTGAGCCCTTTGCGAGGAGCCGCCCCTCACTCTGAAGCCTCTTCCCAAAGCCCGAGTTTCTAGGGAAAGATGGGCCGAGGAAAGGGCCTGTTAGGGCTTTGCTTTTCTAATTTGGATCTTCTGTCCAAGGAAACCATTCTGGCCCAAACCCAGTACGTTCCACGAGGGACAGTACCCTTGAACGGTTCCTCAGTGAAAAGATTGGGAGTACGGGGGTGACAATGAGTGCAGGTAAACAGTGTGACTGAGGCCAGGCCCCCTTGGAAGGAAGCAGGGGTTTCTTTCATCTGTGGCTGCTTTCTGTTCTCTCCCCTCAACACTGCTGAGTTCCTGGGCAATAAGACACCTCTCCCCAAATAAAGGAGAGGTGCTGCAGCCTGGAATCCCCAGAGGGCGTTTCCGGCTTGCTCTGACCCAGGGGTGCCCCACCTTTCAACGCTGACCTCCAGGCACTGTAGGATGTGCAGTATGCAGGCAGCCCTGGCCCCCCCCACTCCCAGCTGTGACGACCGACGGTCTCCAGACATGCCTAGTACCCTCTTGGCGACAACCACTGCTCTAACCACTGCAACCCCGTGGGGGTGGGTGTTCACTGATTCGAAGGCTCCCACGGAAGCTGTGCTGCTTCCCAGGTCCCATGGCTTTATTTACATTTCGGTTCTGTATGTTCTAGTAACGTCCTACCATTTCTCAACCCTTATAAGCATTTCCAGGTGTCATTACTGACCCCATCACAGCACGTTACTGTTGGTGGCTGACCTTTTAAGGGCCACACTTATTCCTTTAGACAGACCAAGGCTGTCCATCAGCCCCCTGGAGTCCCTTGGGATTTCTGCCCAGTGTAACACTGAAAGGGCGGGGGCGGTCCCCTCCCACAGGGAGGAGACGCCACCCCCTCTCCCTAAGTGTAAAGGGTTTGATAACCGAGAGTAGTTCCAAAGCATCTGCCTCATGTTTGTCCCCATAAGAATGTTTAAATACACGGGTTCCCCGTTGAGTTAGCTAATTGCCACCTCCTTGCACACACAGCAGCTCGTGTGCCTGCGCTGTAAGGTTCATCCACATGCAGGCCCCCTCCAGCCATCCTTAGGAGGACACTGAGCCCAGCGCCAGCACCAGCCTGGGAAGTAGCAACATTTAGTTATCAGAGGACTTCATGCTGTCTGCTGGGAAATCATTAAAACCGTCAATATAACTAATGAATATGTTACAAAGCAACCAGAAAACTCGCCGTCTCTTTTGTACAAAATGTTTTCCAAATGCAGTGTCCACAGACAGAATTAGCATGGGCTATTCCGACTGCCTAAAAGCTACAAAATCAGGGCCCAGTGTTTAGTTGGACTAAATAGGTTTTGTTGTTCACGAATTAGATGTCAACATTTTAGTTTTTTGTGTTTTGTTTTGTTTTTACAGGTTTCTCCTTGCTTTAGGGGGTAGGAAGGAATAAAGAGCAGAAGTAGGCAGAGCCAGGAGCGTGGGCCCTCCCTACCCTGGACTTACCGGCCCTTCTCTCTCTGTTCCTCAGATACCCGCCAGGCATCGTGGGCGTGGCTCCAGGAGGACTTCCTGCCGCCATGGAAGGGATCATTCCCGGAGGCATCCCTGTGACTCACAACCTCCCCACAGTGGCACACCCTTCCCAAGCTCCCTCTCCCAACCAGCCCACAAAACACGGGGACAATCGAGAGCACCCCAACGAGCAATAGCAGAGAATGACAAAAGGTCATCATTCAGATAAACCTGGGACCAAGAGACAGTGAAAACTAGATGAACTAAGAGGAGAGGAATTGGACAGACAGTCTTTGAAACTGGTTCTGGACATATGCATCACTGACTTTGCAGTGTTAAAACTACACAAGAGCTAGAAGCCGAGACGTGGGGAAACTGAAGAGGCCGTCTACTTACGGAAGCGCTGAAAGACTAGGACGTGGTTTATTAACGACCAACTTCTGTTATTGTGTGTTAAGTTTTTCATCTGTGCATCAAATCACAAAGAATAAATAGATTTTTCCTTTATCAGTCCCTTGGGCACAGCAGGTCCTCAACACCTTGCTCTAGAATGTTGCATCAAGAGTTCCAAACATCCAAATAAAAAATCTTAAGAGGAAATCCCCATCCTGTGACTCTAGTCCCTTCAGTCCACAGGGGCTGGTTACCTCTTTTGCTAATAGGAAGATTAAATTACTCCAAAACAGGGAGAAAACTGTTTGCCTGTTAGACAACTCCAAGCATAGGATTGAAGACAGTACAGAGAAGTCTCCCATCTGAACTGCATACTGAGCAGGCAAGTTGCTTGTAAGTTCAGTGATACCCTCTGACGATGCAAAAAAAAGTATTAAGTTTCACAAGCTGTTTGTACTCAAATATATTTTCTCAGTTCAGATCCTCAGCTATTTTATTGAGTGGAAAGTCTTGAACTGAAAGGGTTCAAGAAGAATAATGTTGCATTTCCTTATGTCTCAGGAAACACTTTTTATGGTAACTTGTCAGATTGTCTATGAACAAACCCACTTTTTTAGACATTGATAAAGTCTTCTTTTCTTCACGTGATATTTTATACAAGAACACTTCAGGTGTGTTATTAGATGTGACTGATTTTAACAAATCCTATTAGATTTGTATCAACTAGTTACATGTTATATTCATAGTCTTTTGTGAATCATTGCCTTTTTGTTTAAAAGATGGCCTATTTTGAGCCTTTGTATAGGTACATTCCTGTTTTTGTGACAAAAAAAAAAAAACCTTTAAAACTGTCCCAAACAGAAAAATAATGGCTATCAGAAATATGTTTTGTTTTAGTGTGAGTTACCGTTACTGTATTTGTTTATTGTAAAGGTGGACATTTAGCGTTCAGTGCAGTTTTCAATAAAAAGTAATAAAAATTTGTTAAGTTCTGAAATTCAAGTACATCTCACCAATGTAAAAGTTCACTACTTGAGATGTTTAAAGGCAACTGCATCTTCAATTAGTCAATTTTCAGCTCTTGTTATTCCAGGGTTCAAAGATTGATAATACTTTTCTGCCTATTCCATAACCAGACTAAAGAATGCTGACAATTACCTCATGTGATAAAAGAGTTTAATTGGAAAATCAAAACCTCACGTAAGTCCATCATTAAAGATGAAACAGTGGGGTAGAACTAAGTAAATTCAAGAAACAAAATTGGTCAAGTTTTAGAGTTTTGATTTTAATTTACCCAAAAGCAAAATTACCTGGCTCAAGCATTAATGCAGGAAGGGAGGTGAATCTCAAAAGTATTTTTTTCAATGATATTTACAAAGAAATGTTGCAAAATGACATCAGCCATTTCCAGATATTAAGAACTTTAATTGATTTAATGCATCTTCCTTTTTAAATAACACTAAACCTCTTTGCATTAGTGGTATCTGCCAAGTGTCTGTAGCAATTCCAGGTACACTTCCTTTGACCCCTCCTTACCCTCCCCTTCCCTTGACATCTTCAAGCATCAACTTCCTCGCTCATTTTAAGGTTGTGGTTCAATCCCAATTCTCATGAAAAAAATCACATTCAAACCACCTCCCATGGATAGAGATGGAACACGTGGTTACTGACCTATCATTCCAGGAGCAGAGTGGCAGTTCAACACCTTCACAGCCACTTCAAAGAGGCAATGAATGAGGGGCGCGTGCAGGAAAGGAGGCCCCGCCCACCTGTGGACAGCAGTACTCCCTTACAGATTGAGTCTGGGCACATGAGCCTATGAGTCAAAAACAAAACGGCAGGTCCAAATCTGTGATGCACAGAAAACACCACACTGTATTCTCCCTAGGAAAAAACCGTCGAGTTAAATCCATACAGTTACGGTATTACTGTCCAGTCAACCAAAAGACATACACATCTGTCACCCAGCCACATAGAATCTTTGAGAAAGGACTGCATACTCTGTCTTGAGACGACAAATATGGCTGTTTAATAGTTCAAGAGCTTAACATAGCATTGATTCACCCAAAATTTTGGCTTTTACCAGCCAATCTGCTGTGAAAACTATTTAAAGCCCCTTCTGGGCCTGGAGCCTGGGAAATGTCATCCCCTAAACTTTTCCACAGGGAAGAATGCTGTACCTGTTCAACTGGATAGGGTCAGGGGTGCTGATCATAAATAAATAAATAGGCACCACAACAGAGCGGCCAGTACTGAGCCTGTGGTTCTCTGGCCAGTGCAGACCATAGTGACCAGCCTTTCCCTCAAACATCTTTGGCTTCTGCAATCCGGAGGGTCGTTTTTGCTTAACAGCAACTACAACAGTCTCTGCCCGCTAAAGGGTTGCGCCTGTATGTGGAGTAAGTTGAGAGGTGCTATGCTAAGGAGTCAGAATGGCAGCCTGTTGAAAAATGATTCATTACTGACCAAAATGAAAGCAAACCACAACATCAATTTGTAAGAAAATATTAACCACTGGGAACAGTAACATTTACCATTATAATGTATCAAAATTCATTTATATGGAATCAAATTGCAAACATTTTTCCTGCAAGTTCTAGCATGCAGCAAGTTATCCTTTTATCCTGGGAACACCTTTCAATGAGTGTTTAGAGAGGGGAGAAAGAACTAAAGACATGACATCTGGGTATTTTTCTATTTTTAGTATACCAGCATCAATTTTAAGGTTATGCACATTTCAATATCATCTAAACAGAACTCGGAAGAAAACAAGAAGCAAATATTGAAAGGTTTTCACAGCCTTTTCATCAAAGGAAAAGGAAGAGTGAGTGAGTGAGTGAGTGTGTGTGTGTGTGTGTGTCTTCCCAAATTCCTCGCCACATCCATAGTCTACAAAGTGCTTATCAGGACACTAAGTCTGTGTGTTCCTGAGATAGGTCTGAAATTTTTACCCATATTGAATGTATACCTGAAGTGGTCAAATAATACTTCTTATAAAAAGTTTTTCTACCTAAGATTATAGTTTTAACTTGAAATAAGAATGGCCACAATTAACCAACATGCAAAAATTCTCAGACTACCCACTGAGAAATTCATGAATACAATGCATTTACCACCTTACTGCATTTTAAAATCTTTATTCTGTACTGAACAGATATTCCCAAATAGCCCAAGCAAAGGCATGCCTCTGTAGTACGATTTGCTTAAAGCAGAGTTGATGGTAAAAGACAGTGAGAATCCCAAGACCCTCTGCGTGGCAATTTGGGAGTACGACATTGTCAATCGGGTCATGTGAGCAGATGCCACCATTCATTCCGTCAGGAACCGGGCCTGCTGCCCAAGCACTTCCCACATTTAAACCCAGGGAAGAGCTGCTCACCAAGAAACTGCTGCCCGGTCGGGCAAGAACCCTTGTTCTAAGGGCACTCTTCCAAACAAACACCTAAATACTGAAGGGGGCAGATCAGAAACTTGAAAAAGGTGAAATCATAGAAACCAAAACAAGGGGATGTCTTATATGAAGTTCACTCAATAAAAAATTCTAACTTGCCTGCAGTTTGTTCCTTAAAGATTTGTTTTTATTGGGCACAACAAGAACTAAATAATAAAATAAAAGCTTATTTTTTGTTTTTGTTTTGCTGTGGACAATTTGTATAAAAAGTTTCCCAATCTCTAAGGAGCTCTAATGAGACCTTCTTTTAAGATGGAAGTAGAATGCCAGGTTCTACTTTAAAAAAAAAAAAAAAAAAAGAATGACTATCTCAAAGGAACAAAGAGGCATCTGCCATGTGCTTTTGGAGGTGCCCATGCTGGAAAAACGCCTCAAAAACATGAAGATGCTGGTAGAGCTTTTCCTATTACACAACTTCTTACACAACCACATGCGTTACATTTATAGACAGATTTACGATTTGAGAGGAAAAAAAGTTCTGTCTTAATAAAATTAAGTTTTTTTTGTTTTTTTACAAACTGTAGTCCAAACAACGTTCTCTGCGTCCTCACGCGGCAGATGCGTCATCTCCATTGGGTGTGGATCAGAGAAACCCTTCTGAGCAGGTCCTCCCAGCTTTGTGCGTTCCATGCCATGCACAGTGCGTGGAACCCACACTAATTTGGGGTTCGCCACAGAGCTGCTACCTTGGTCTTCTGCTCTTTGATTTCTTTTCATTCATCTTCATCATCTTCATCTTCCTCTCCGTCAGACAGGGATGTACAAGGCCGGATCTGTCGGTAGCGGTCAAGCCATTTTTCGACCATCTGTGTGACCAGAGGGTGATTTCGCCGCCGAGAGCTTTTCTGCATGGCAACGAGGACGCCGCCCTCGGTCACACAGCAGTCCAGCCACTCCCTGAGCAGTTTTTCTTGCTGTTCCTCATTACCTAGCTTTTAGAGGAATGTGAATAAAAGGGAAAACAATTTCAACAGATCAGAGACTTAATAGGAAAACTTTAACAGAAACCTATAGCTGGTATGATCACTAATGAAAAAGCCAAAGCAATAAACTTAACATGGTTCCGACCTCTCATCAATTTTATGATTAAAACCCAGTTTTCTATGGTTAAACAGCAAAGACATCAATGGGGGAATTCGCACAAAAACCTAGCAGGAAGAACAACCTAGAAATCATTGGTTTGATGTTAACAGCAAAGAGCAGCGAATGTCTAATAAACTGATCCTGGCAAAGAAAAGGTTAGAAAAAGCAAGTCCCAGCTTCAAACACATGACAAGGTAAGTTTGCTCAGTAAATTATGTACAGGCTGAAGTTACAAAAAATTCTGGTCTGAATTCTTGATGTCAAAGTTTTATAGTCATTACTCGCATATTAAATAAAAGACCAATGATTCTATAAAAATACAAGTTTTCTGAGTGTTCTTTTACGTTCTACCACCTTCTAGAACCCCTGGACCTGCGATAGCGTCCCCACTTGGTGTTCCTGCTCCCACTGACGGTGTCTCAACAGCGCAGCCAGCACCGCTCTTCCGGGCGCTGGCCACTGGCTTCCCAGCTCACTCAGCAAAGCCCAAGCTTTCCGAGGCGGGTGGTGAGCCCCGGCCCTGGCCCCCAGCCCCCCTTTTCCCCTTACCCGATGCCCGCAAACCACACTGGCCTCTCAGTTCCCTCCACCAAGACCTCTTCCTCCGGGTTCTACAAGACTTACTTCTCTTTCAGCTGGTGCTTCAGGCGTCACTTCCTCAGTGATGCCCACCTTCCCTCGCCACCTTTCTGTAAGTCCCAAAGCCCGTCCCCCTGTGCCGCCCCTTTCCCCCTCACCCCATCTTTTTACTTTTTCTCCTCAGCACGTACCACTACCTGAGGACAGGGCTTTTCGTCTTCACTGTACTGCTGTATCCCCACACAACACATCCTACACAGCAGCTCTGAAAAGGTACATTTCCAAGTCTGTCTGTCTGACCAGTATTTACAGGAAATGACAACTATGACCAAATTCGAAAATGTCACTGGCAGTGCGGACAGCATCATCCCTGAAAGGCACTCTAGCTGGTGCTGGCACCATGCTGCCCCTTTGGCAGCTGACAGAAGCGCACCCCTTACCTCCTGAGCAGACAGGAAGTGCACATGCAGCAGCTTCCTCTCACTGTCCACCAGAGGCAGGAAAGTGATGGTGACATCGTCATCAGTGTTCAGGTTAGCACCAGCACCTCGGGTGCCATAGCCATCGTTTTCCATGGCAACCAAAGCGGAGAAGTGGCCCCTCGTATAGCCCAGAGCGATCGGACTTTTCCAACAAAAGCTCTGTTCCCACAACAAAGGCAAATACACACCTGGAAAGAGGGGAGGAAATCAGTGTGATTCTGGGGTGCAGCCGCAAACTGTAAGCACTGTCGGAGTCAGCGGGAGGCGGCTCACACTCGTGAAGATGGCTTACCTTGAAACCGAGTGTATCCTAAAGTTTCTCCCCGAAAACTTTTATAATATTTTACTCCATAAACTATAATTGGTCGTCTAAGAATATGTGCAAGTACAAAAATGTGTGTCTGTTCCAAACTTGCTCCAGGCTGTACACAACAAAACAAAAGAAAGCAGTTTCTCTTTAAAACATGATCACACCCTGGAAAATATGTAAAACACCACCACCCTCCTCCTTCAGTACACTATCTCAATTCTTTTTTTTTAAAATAATATTGCTAAAAAAGCGTTTGATTCCTCAAATATCAAAGTCCCATAAAACTAGAAGTAATCTGCAAAGTCTATGTACAAGTACCTTCACTACCCGAACTCCAGAACCAAACAGGATTGCTTAAATACAGATCTCAGGAACCAGAGCTCAGACAGTGGGGCGTGCTTGATTTATGCGACTGCCTTGCAGTTAAGTCACCTGTGGAAGCACTACCTACACAGTCCTCCCGAAGTAAAAAGATGAGCTTTGTCATTTTATGTGAACAAAATGGCAGCATCACCTAATTAAAGAATACATCCAGTGGTTTCCTGGTACTGCAAAAAAAAATACAAAACAGGGGCCAGCCAAGCGGCTGAAGTTGGTTAAGAGCTCGCTCAAAAATGTGAGCTCTGAGCAACAGGGTCGCCGGTTTGATTCCCAACCCGAGCTGAGCTGCCAACAGGTGGCAGGATGGCTCAAAAAAAAAAAAACAGAACAGATCCACCTGTCCCTATAATGATGCCAACAACACACTTTCAGAAGATCCAAGTCACAGACATAAAGCAGCCGCTCCTACACAATTCACTTGTAATAGTTGTTTCCCGAGCTAATTAGGAATCACTCCTATCTATGGCACCTTCTTCTGGGCCTATGTCACATGGACAGAGCCTCAGCACTGGGGAGCCGTTAGAAGGTCACAGCCGGATCCTCAGGGCCTGACAGCTCAGCACAGGAGTGCCCCCCACTAGCTTGTGGCCTTGGCAAGGTCCCCCTCAGACCCAGAATGGGAGCTAACAGACAGGTGGGTAAAACAGGACAGAAAGCCACCTCCCTGAGACAGCCATATAAATGAAAAGCAACCTGAATACATACGTAAGCGCTTATAATCATCACAACTTTCCTACTGAGAGTTGTTAACACCTAATCTAAGAGACACTCACTCGCCCGCTCTGCACTGAAGACTTGCCTATGATCACAGAGCTGAAACACAGCAGCCACAACTCAAATCCAAATCCCGTGGTGCCAATCAAGCTCTCTCCTTTGTGCTATGTCAACTCCCAAAACGGTTTCTTCGTGTAGATCAAGGGACTTAGACCGTGCGGCTTCCTGTTTTCACAGAAGCAACATGCCTTGAAGCATTCTTACCTGACTAGCAAGAGAGAGTATAAATGCCCAGTCTTCTTGCCACTGTTCTTCTCTCAAGGAAAAATGTAAACCAAAGCTCTGAGAATACCATGATTCCCAATCTTTCCAACGTGTATAAAACCTTAAAAAAAAAAAGACAGTAAAAATTAAGGCTTACATAAACATTTATTGTTCCAATCGGTTATTTAATGCAGTCTTTCTTTAGGCAATTCACATGAAAAGATGTGAATTATAATTCACAAATAAATAATAATTTTATTAACTATACTTGGCTTGCAATACATTTTTCAAACTAAAAATGCCTCCGTTCTGCTAGCAGACACCTTTTTACGTATCTTCAGACATAATTTGATTCACCACCCACCAAATTTTAATCAAAACTTCAAACACTAGGGATGAGAACAGTTCATTTCAATTGTCTAATATTAGTTTACAAATTAAAAAACAAAACACTCAAAATCATCCGACATGCTGAATACAATAAAAGACACTACACATTTCTCCATTAAGGTAGAGTACTTGGTAAGGTACAGTACTCGCTAAGGTACAGTACTAAGGTACAGTATTCGCTACTTGGTCCTATATAACAGACTGCAAACAGCCAACATGTTCATGAGAATATCAAAGTCAATTCCTTGAGATTTTTTCCTTAAATAAAATTATTTCTCTATGATTATCACATAATCAAAAAAAAAAGTCACTGCAACTACAAAATTCCTTCTTTATATTTAATACCCTTCCTAAATAATTCAGCCTAATAAATTATGAAGATTGAAAATCAAACTCGGCAACTGGCAGACTGCATTACTAAAAACAAAACCTATTCTTTTTCTTTATATCAAGTATAAAATTAAACACTAGATATAATTAATTATGCTCAAAATTGTGGTTCACTCTCCTACAAACCAAGCCAGCAAAGACCTCTGGCATAAAGACATACATTTAACCTATTTGTAACATCCCATTTCTCTCACCTACAAAGAACTAGAAATCCCAGGTACTTTCTTCATGTATCTGAATTCTAGGTAAAAGCAGCAAAAGATAAAACATTCTGTCGGTATTGTTGAAAAGTTCCAGCATAGTTAAATGTGGTAGTGTTACAAGCTTCTTTACAGTAACTTAATGAAGGGCTCCGTAAAAAGTTAATGTATTTTAGATTTTCTAAAAGGACTAAAATAGAATATTACAGAGGTTTAACTCTTGACTGATTAGAAAAAATTTTTTTCTATTCCAGATAATAAAGGGTTTGTTAATCAAGAGTGTAAGTTTTAAAGCCAAGTGTTTTGAAAATGCAGATATCCCTCTTTAAAAATACCTAGGAAACACAAAAATGAATGCACCAATGACGAAATACATTGTTTTGAAAAGTTCAAGGAGAAACATCACGCAACCAACTGAAGATGTGCGCAGTTAGACATTTCTCAGTTAGCGCCCAGAATCATTTTATGGATGAGGCAGCAAAGTTTGCCATAAATTAAATGATGACTGCACCCAAGAAGACTGCAGTACAGAGAACTTTAAAAATAAGCATGTTCAAATAATCACGCCCACCACACAAAGACCTCAATTCTGAAGCTACCTAGCTCATTAAACCAAACAAGCAAACCAAACCCAGGAACATTTGACCAAGTGGGACAGCAATACAAGTTTGGTTTAACATTCAAAAATCAATTCCATGTCCATGAATTATAAGACTCAATATCATCAACTGGGTATTACTCCTCAAATTAATCTACAGATTCAATGCAATCTCTATTAAAATCTCAGTGCACTTTTTTTGCAGAATGATAAGCTGAATCCTAAAATCTATATGGAAATGCAAATGACTCAGAATAGCAAAAAGAATCCTGAAAAAGTAGTACAAAGCAGAAAGACAACAAGGTGTGATCAAAACATTTGGTGAATGTTTAAATAAAAAGTGACTTCTGCTACTTACTATCGCTGACAATGGGCAATTTAATTTAGCCTCTTTTGGCCTCAATTGTCTCATTTATAGTATGATAACTAAATGACAATGTGGGAAACCAAGAAAATACTGTAAGTCAAATAAATATAAGGGCCAAACTACTGATTCACAAACAGTCATCGCTTCCAGTTGACTGATGCTTCAATGGTGCATTTACAGCTCAAGACTAGTCATACACTTGATTGGGTGCTGAAATATATATATATGATATTTTTGAGACAACTAGAAAATATAATATGGACTGTATGCTGAATAACTAACTGAGTGTCGATTTTCTTAGATGTGATGATGAGGCTGTGGTTGGGTGAACAAATGTCCTTGCTCTTGAAAGATTCATGCTGAAATAGTGAAGGGTGAAGGCTCAGGATGTCTACAACCAATTGGCAAGGGGGAGTGTTTATGCAGAGATGGAGCACGCGTGGTGAAATGTTAACAACTGGTCAATCAAATGAAGGAGATATTGAGGTCCCTGTTGCACTTTTTAAACTTTTCTGTGGGTTTGAAAATTTGCAAAATAAAAACATGTCGTCTTAAAACCACCTGCCTCAGGGAGACAAAAACTCATAATACAATGTTAACATAATCTCTTAAAAGTCGAACAAAAATATGAAATCGTTAACGACTTAAAAATGAGCAAAGACCTTATTAATATTTAAACTAGTCCTACAACTTCAAATGTTTCTATTTTAAAGCTCAGCAAAAAGGTATAGAAGCCACTGAGATGTTTCAAGTGTTTCAGTGTCCAAAACCACAGCTTTTTCCTCCCTGGCTTCCACAGAAAACCGAACAGACGACGTGCCGCACCACTCTGAGGGAGAGACTCAGCAACGCCCCAGCTCACCAGTGTGAACAGTCGTGCAGGCTGTCATGCAGGGCCTTCCGAAGCACTGAGTCCTTGTCATAGATGCCCCAGGTAGCTTGCAGTACTGAATCAAGGAGGCAGTCTCCCGCAGTCCGGTTCCAAAGTGCATACAACCGACTGTCCAAGCGTGTAGCCAATTCCAAGGACCAATTTATAATTGGAGATTCCTCTTCTAACTCTACACAAGGAATTTAAACAGCACATTCATTTTCACACCCATGCAATCAAGCATGATTCAGTGGAGGAGAGAACCTATTCTCTGGATGTTAATAGGTCAGTGTGTAATTTACTAATAAACACCTCAATAAACTTGTCCATTAAAATATAAACCTTTTGAGTAATCAAAACAGCTTATGGCTCTAGAATAATCTACTCAACTTTCAAATTGTTTACAATTTATTTTGTAAAAATGTTTCATATAAAAATATACTTCATCGAATAAGAAGCAGAAAACCAGTTTAAAAACTTTTATACCTTCATTCGTGCACTCTATCACAGTTAAGAGCTGTGAACGAGCATTTCCCCGTTTTACTGAAATGCAATGAACAGAATGAGCATTTTTAACAGCACAATACAACACTGTTCATAAGGACTTTACATTTTTAATTTAAAATAAAAATAAAACAAGTTGACCATACACTAAACGACTCTAAACCTTACAAAACTAAGCAGAAAGTTTACTGAAATTGATGAAAGGTAACCTGCACTCAATTCCATACTTACCTTTTTGAACATCTCTATCAAGCACCTCATCAAATAGTTTTTCTTGGACTGTTGGAGGCAAGTCTTCAATATCTACAAAGAAAGAGACTTAACAGCTCTTCTGATATCTCAAAGTACTCACCATGATGTACACTTGAAATATCTGACTTTACGTCACTTCAATAAAGATAAAATACAGGGAAAACACCAACAAGGCTAACACTGATATTCAAGTTAAAATGATAATAATAATTACATGCAAATTTTCATCTGTGCTCTTCCCACACTCTCAACCTCTGCCTAGGCCTGTTATTTTCAGACTTTAAAATCTTATAAAAGTGAATGAGCCATTAATTTTGGCTCACAGATCTGTCATTTTCCTCAAATTCTCTATGCTCTATTCAGTTTACTAATTGAGTAGAGTAAAACCCATTACCCTTAAAAAAATGTTTTTCAATGTTTGTAAGCTATTTTCAATTCACAGTAAAAATCTAATCATCACTTAGGGTATAAAGTTTAAATATATGAAGAATGCATTCCAAATGAAATTTGTCTGATTTTTAAATGCTAATTTATTATTATCTCCTACCATTTTTAAATGCTCCTGTTCACATCAGAATATAAAAGCTCAAAACACACAGAACCAAGATGGAAGATTTAGTTTAGAAACTTGGTATTTGGAGCATTTCTTCAATGCCAACTGATAAAAACCATCCTGGAAGACACTTCCAATTATCACTGGATTGAAAGGTGAAAAGTTACTTCACAAATACGGAAATTAATGTAATGAGTAAAGAAAGTAATAATACTTTCAAAAGAATGCCAGTATCTTTGATTCAAATAACTTGATTCTACCCATCTAAAGCCCATTTTCTAATGCTATCTCCTAATATCAGGTAACCAACAGCTAATTTCAAAACAACAGGCATGAAGACACGGCACGCGGCGGTGTGAAGTTCCAGTCCGGCCAGCCGAACCTCTTGAAGCCATTCTTACAGATGATGAACCAGACCAACTGTTAGAACTCATAAATGAATTCAGTAGGGTAGCAGGATACAAAATTAACATTCAGAAATCAGTTGCATTTGTATACACCAATAATAAACTATCAGAAGAAGAAATCAGGAAATCAATCCCATTTACAATTGCTTCAAAAACAATAAAATACCTAGGAATAAATTTAACCAAAGAAGTAAAAGACCTGTACTCAGAAAATTATAAGACGTTGACGAGAGAAATCAAAGAAGATACAAATAAATGGAAATACATACCATGTTCATGGATAGGAAGAATTAATATAGTTAAAATGTCAATACTACCTAAGGCAATATATAGATTCAATGCAATTCCTATCAAAATAATAGACATGAAAAGAAAAAACAGTAGACTGATAATATTTGTAACTAAACCAAGGAGAAAAATGGGTAAAACAGGCTTTTGAAAATATCTGAGGCCCATAAAGAAGTTAGTTATGATCAGCTGCTGTCCTCCCAGACCTAACATGAGCTTACGAGTGGCCCTCACGCTGGTTGCTTCCAGTATAAGCAGGGTAGTCAAGTAGTTTAAAGATAATATTAACTATATAACAGCTAAGTTATCTGCTTTCTAAGAGACACATGTTCGCTCAGACAGAAAAAGAGAATTAGAACAAAGTGGGATCTGGAGTTACCTGCTGGCAATGTGAATGTCACCAAGTCAGTTAGGAAGTAGCAGGCGAAGTCCCCCTTTCTCTGATGGAGAGAGGCCGCCACCTCGCGGCGGATCTGCTCTGTCAGTTCAGGACACACCATGGCTGGAATACACTTTGCTGCCTGCTGAGACACCTTAAATACAAAAGGAGCTTTCCTCGGCATCTCACTGATCATCAACGGAAGCAGAAAACAGCAGTATTGAAAAGAAACTACCAAAATTTCCCAGGAACTCATGGTGGTTTTTTGTTGTTGTTTTTTTTTTTTAATATATCGGGCATTGGGTATTATTTCCTCACTGGTGGAAGTATGTATGTAGCAGAACAACTTTCTAGCCCTCTGACTCGGTAATTCCACTTCTTAGGACTTCATCCCAAGAAAATATACAAAGATACACATAAAAATTCATGTAAAATGGAGTTGTTCACCAAGGTTCATCATAGGAGGGGGAGGTAGACAGAAAACAACCTAAACAGACTCACCATCACACCCCCAATACAAACAAATTCTGAAAAAACAGGCAATTCCAGCTCATGGCGAAAGACTAAAGTACACAGACTATTCTCTTGCTCTGTTAAGAATATTTCAAGTGCCATGACTCGGAATAAAGAAAACAAGATCTTTTTAGAGGGTCAGTTCCCACTGACCTCAAATCCCTCCCCATTTCTTATAACTGAATTTTTAAAAAGCATTTGGCTTCTCCAAGTGTAAAGAAACAACAAACCTTCAAAGCACGGCCCCTTAGGAATGAAACAGGTGCGCTGGTGTAGGGAGCACCACCAGAGAACCTCCAGGCAAGGAGACGGCTAGAACTTCCCTCTCCTTTTTAAGTGATAAATAGCAACAACTGAGGCAAAGATCATATTTGACATTTAAGGTGTATTCCTTTTGTGGAGCTCAAGAAATCTGCGTACAGAGAATTCTGAAATCAAGATGAGGATCTGCTGGCAAGGAAAGGAAAGGCGTCTGTCTGGTGGGACCCCTGAGTGAGTCAGTGTGCTCTGCTCTGGGCTGTCCCAGACTGCAGCCATTATCCTAGGCAACAGTAAGTGGGGTTTGGAGCAGCAGGTCTTCCAATAAGCCACTCAAAGAATAAGTTTCACGGATAATGTCACCTACAATGTGCATGTGGACAACTTAATTGTAATAGCTATGATGGTAAGTAAACAGTTCCCAAAACCCTGCATACCCTACACAGTCATCAGACATGCTATTCTGAAAACTCCCACGTGAAAACGCAGGATTACCAGTAACAGTGAAATTCTCACCACATCTTAACTCCATGAAGCCAATCTTCAAGAGACCAATTATAAAAAATCAAATATTAAGTATTTTCAGAATATAATTGACTATTTCTCACCAGTGTTAAAATGGATCCCAAAAGTAAACTCAAAATTAGCTTATTCCAATCTGCGAACCCTCAGCTCTTCTCCAAAACCTGAGAAGTTGTTTCCAAAAACAGCTTGGACTGAAGCCTGAGTATTGCAAACACTCCCACAGAAACCTTTCAGCTGGCGAACGGCCTCCAAGCGTTCCTACTTCCACCCCGGCCGTAAGCAGGACTCATCCCTGACGCCGGCCTCTCATCCTCGGCCTCTTCAACCCTAGAACTCTCAACCGTCTCCTTAGGCTAGTAGTTCTTAACTTAGGGCCCATGAATTTGGGAAGGGGTCATGAATCCAAATAAAAATTTTATTTAAATTTAAATCCTTCATTTTCACTAACTTCTTGCCTATATTTAAAATTCATTTTTTAAAAAGCTTTATTGGGGAGGGCCAGCCGAGTGGCGCGGTGGTTAAGAGCCGGCTTGGGACGCCAGAGGGCCCCGGTTCGGATCCCACATGTGAGGGCCAGTGACACTGCCCTCTACAGCTAAGATGCTGAACAACAGCTCAACCTGGAGCTGGGCTGCCATGAGTCGCCGGCGACGGCGTAGGCTGCAGCCCCTGTGGCAGTGGATTGCCATGGGCTACCGTGTGTAGCCAGCAGCCAGCGTGAGCGGCCAGCAGCCGCAGTGAGCGGCCGTCCAGAAGCCGGCGACTGATCTGCCTCGCCCGGGAAGAGCGCAATGATGGTGCCAACTTGGGGCAATGAAGTAACGTCCTCCACAACTAGACTGAAGAACAAAAGGACAGCAACTTGTCTGTTCCCCTTCCCCAATTCCCCAATAAAATCTTTAAAAAAAAAAAAAAAGCTTTATTGGGGAACAATGTGTTTTTTTGGGGAACAATGTGTTTTTTCCAGGACCCATCAGCTCTAACTCAAGTTGTTGTCCTTCAACCTTAGTTGTGGAGGGCGCAGCTCAGCCTCAAGTCCAGTCACCGCTTTCAATCTAGTTGCGGGGGAGCACAGCCCACCATCCCATGCAAGAGTCAAACTGGCAACCTTGTTGTTAAGAGCACGTGCTCTCACCAACTGAGCCACCCAGTGGCCCCAAAATCCATTTTCTTATAGATCACAAACTTAACATTTGAATGACTATATTTCAATATACAGTTGACCCTGGAACAACATGCGTTTGATCTCATGGGTCCACTTGTATGAGGATTTTTTTCAATAAATACTGTAAATATGGTCTCTCCTCCCTATGATTTTCTTAACAGTTTGTTGTCTCCAGCTTACTTTATCATAACGTCACTTCCTAAATTAGGTTCCATACATGCCTGCCGCTTCCATCGGGGCCACTCTCTCGCACCCTCCTCTGGATCACCTGCTCTAGGTGAAACCAGCTGCCACTCTAAGAGCAGCCCTATGCAAGAAGCCTCCTGCCAGTGGCCACGAAAATGCACTCGGAACCAGCTCCTCCAGCCCCATTCGAGTCTTTTGACCACGGCAACCTCCTGAGACCTTAAGCCAAAGCCATTCAGCTAGGTGCTCTGGGACTCCTTACCCTCAGAAACTGTGTGAGGTTCACAAGTGTTCGTTGTCTTCAGCTGCCGGGTTTGGACATGACTGGTTACACAGCAATAAATAATAAATACACTGGGCTTCCACTGTCTTCCTGCTGTTAGTCCCCAGGTTGCCCTTAGGAGGCTGGTGACTTACGCCAGCCCCTCGAGAACCTTTCCAGTCCCCTGCCAGCCTGAGGGGAGCCTGTGATTCCCCTAAAGACTTGAGCCTTAGTTCACAGCTGCCTTCTCTGCCACCACCAGTAACTGTAACTCCACATGCCAGCCGTTCCAACATACAACACAGCTGGCACCCCAGCACAAATGGAGCCAGACCTCGGACACGGTGGCAACTCCCTCTAACTGTTCCATCCTGGTCCAGAGCTCGGGTCCGTCGAATCACACTGCTGCTTCTCAAACAGTCCCCTTCTGCCGTGGACTCAGTAAGCCTGCCCTGTTTTCATCATGGCTGTCCCTCAAGCCTCCCCTTCCTCTAACAGGTGCCCCGGCTTCACTGGAATCTTACAAACTGAACACAATGACTAGCCACCTCAGTCCTGCTTTCCTCTCACCTTCAGATTTCTTAATCCCCCACAGTGCTTTGTACATCATGGTTCCCAAGTATTGGCACATTTGAATAAACAAATATGCATAAGCATACACAGAAAATGTATACTGACAAAATTTGAATCCACAAATGAACTGACATTCTGTACTTTTACCCTATTTCTCTTATCACTAAAAAAAGAACCCGGATAATATAGTCGCAGCCTGAAGAATTCATTTGCAGCCCCGTCGTTAGACATCTACGCCAGAACCCTCAGAATCGCTTGGGTCCCTGTGTCAGCACTCCCCCCCAACCCACCCCCTTAATCCTGCCTGCATGACCTCCACACTCTCTCCGCCAGCCCGCCTCTTCCCATTCCCATTGCCACTGCCGTGCAGGCGGCCTGCCTGCCATCATCACTGCAATAACCCTCCTACCCAGGCTGCCCCTCTCCAATCCACAGCAGCCTGAACACAACCTGACTTGCAACTCCCGTTCTCTACCTGACACTTTCCAAAACCTTTTCACTGCCCTCAGAATGATCTTCGAAACCCTTGGCCTAGAGGGTCCTTCGTGCGTACCCGTGCCCAGTACCCGTGCCCACCCGTGCGTACCCGTGCCCACCCGGGCCCTGCTTCTCTCCCACTCCCCCACTCAGTTCCCCACCACAGCCAAGCTGAGCTCCCTGAAATCGCCACCAACACCGCCACCCTGGCCTCTGAGTAAATGGTTTCCTCGGCTCCTTCTTCTCGTCCAGCCACTTTCTGAGGCTCACTCCCACTGCTCCTTCAGCTCTTAGCTAAAATGTTATCGGCTCTAGTAAGAACGTGGATTCCTCCAAACACTCGCCCAAGTACTCCCACCAGCACCTGCCACTTCCATCTCAGAAAGCATATTCAGTACGGAATTACCTGTTTATTTCTCTACTTTTCTGGAGACTCACTGAAGGAGGAGCCAATGCCTTCACAATCATATCCCTTTTTTAGGACAGGTCTGGCACATAGTAGGTACTCAATAAATATTTATTAGTGGAATGAATGATAGATACATCCCAGTGTTTTTTAAGTCAAACATGATTCAAATACTGTGGCAAAATGTCCTGTTTTAAAAACATACCTTTAAGAATTATATACTGTTGACGTCTCTTAAGTTTAATATAGTGTTTAAAGGGGGAGAGAAGAATTTGAAACATTCAAATGTTTGGACAAACATAACAACATCAAAAATGGAAACTAAATACGTTTCTCCTTCACGTGACAGCCTATTCGGCCAAAGGCCACACTCACCTCCGTAAGCAGTATGGCGAGCATGTCCTGCCTCTGAAACCGTATGGCCAGGTGGACCAGAGTGTAGCCAACGTCGAAAGCAGAAGGACGGTTCAGCAAGCGCACTTCGTCTGCAGTTAGCTGCCGTGCAATGTCCCCTCCTGATGACTTGTATGCTTCTATAGCAGCTAAATCACCTTCTACAACCCCTGAAACAAGCATCAAGACAGGAATGAGTTTAATTTTATGTTTCCTCAAAAAGCATAAACCTGTAGCATTGATTCAAAACTCTAAGTGTTTCTCTGTGCTTCTTGGACATCATTTAAATGTCCTAAAGAATATGAGGAAAATGTGTGGGTTTCCCTCCCTTTACTTTCTTTCCAGAACTAGAACTGCCTAGTTAGGCACTTACCTTCACATTGGCACTGGCTCCGTGCTCTGGGGGGAGGGGAGGCTCAGAGGAACTACAGGAATATGTTCATGGGACCAGAGACTGGCAGTCTAGCGTGAGAAACTAGACTTCACAGAAGACACTGAGCTCCTAGTCTGATTCTGATGCTGCAGAAGCCAAGGGGACAGGGACAAGTTCCCCGTCGGCTCTGGGCCACGTTAGCCCTTTATAGACATTCAGCATATCTGAAGCTGAATCAAAACAAATGCTGAGTCTTCATACTGCGTAGATTTAGAGCAATTAAAACCATTTTCATTGTAAGTAAAAGCAATACTTCAATTTCACAATTTCTTATAGCCAATTCTTCCTTATACCCATTAAGGATTAATACAGTAAAACCTGAACCAGATGATTTTGAGCAAAAATATGCTAAAAAACATTTCAAACCAGTTGAGAGTGAAGAGATAATAAAACAAGTATCACCTTTCCCAAAGCCACAGAGAACTTTCCATTCCCACTGAACCACGTTATTAATCTTAACACAAATTAATGTTAAGACAGTAATCCTATTTACTAGCAGTACAGTACTTCTATGGATTAAAAAAAAAATAGCCTTGGCAAAAAATAAAGGTGTTGGTTAACTTCAAATGTACAAATAGTTTTTAAAAAACAAAACAAAAAAAAACACACGACCCACTAATTGTGTCTCCTGTGTTAACATCAGTAGCAGTGTGTCGGGTAAAATGCTAACACTAACTAAATTATTCTTAGTGTATTTTTTAAAAAGCATTTTTAATTGTTATCTTGAATTAGGAATTAAATAAGAGCTATTCCTTAGATTATGAGAGATTGGTACAATGCCACATTTCCCCCAGTTATTAAAAATAACAGCTTTAAAATGATACTTCAGATTCCCACCTTCGCTGACTGCCCATGACACGCAGAGCACTATACTGGGCAAGGCGAGCAACACAAGAACAGTAAGGAGATGGTCCCTAAACTCAAACCAGGTTTGCATCACGCTTATGAGCCATACAAGGCCAGCTTCAAAAAGTTTTCAAACTCTGGTGTCAAAGATCCTTTCTAGAAATCTACATTCTTTCCCAAAAAGTGACCCCTGCCCCAGCCACATACATTTTCCAGGTTAAGAATCCATAATATCAAATGAGAATGCCTTCTTAAAGGCATTTTTATTTCCACAGCAGTGTATGTAGATTAATACATTCAATATAAATGCCTAAGTCCAGCTGGAACCCCTACCTCCAATACATTAAGGGCTCAAAACACCCTTATGGGGCAGAGTCTCCTTGTGAAGTCATCAGGGCTAAACCATAATTTGGCTGGCATAAGACGAGGAGGGTGAATCTTCTCAAAAGGGCAAGCCTTGGGCCAGCCGAGTGGCGCGATGGTTAAGAGCCGGCTTGGGACACCAG